TCAAGCGTCTTAGTATCCTGAAACTCAACAAGGTCAGTTTCAAATATAACCCGACAATGAATCTGTTCTAGAAGCTTAGAAATAGACAGTAAGTTTGTTCGAAATTCAGGCACATAAAATCCAAAAAGTTGCTGTCCAAATAGATTAATCATGCCTTGACCTTGAATGGAAACGTGGTGGCCATTAGCAACAGACACAACACCTCCACATGTGTCAAGTTTTACAAACCAACCTGCATCATTGAACATATGGGAAGATGCGCCAGAATCAATAACGACAGAAGAGAGAGTTGTGTGGTTACCACTTTCTTTGTTATTCATTGCCAGGAGAAATTGTTTGAACCCCTTAAGTTCATCTGGAGTGAAAGATATGGCTGTGTCTCCTGGGTTAGCTGCAGTGGTAGCAGTCATGGCGGAAGCACGGGTTGGCAGATTGTCACGATATCGAGTAGGCTTCAGATGGGGGTTCAAAATCCAGCACCTGTCTTTAGTGTGTCCGCTTTTCTTACAGTGATCGCAGAACAGGTTTCGACGATCCCGCGGCGGAAGCGAAGCTGTGCCAGGCTTCTTCGTGTAGTGGGCGAGTTCCGAGGGGGTTGTAAATAGATTACGCCCACCCTCTTCCCGCTTAACCATCATGCAAACCTCATCGAAGCTTGGCAAAGTAGTTTGTCGCAATAGGTGATAGACTAAATCATTAAAGGAAGGATCAAGTGTAAGGAGTAGGGAGAAAACCTTATCCACTTGCGCTCTTGTTCGGATCGTTTGTGGATCTATAGTGGTTGGGCGGATCTCTTCCAATTCAGCCCAGAGAGCACAGAACTCATCTTGGATTTTGTTGAAAGGCTGTCCATTCTGTTGCAGGTGAAAGAGCTTCTTCTTGAGCTCAAAAATTCGGCTAATATTCGATAGATTGTCGTAAACACTCTTCAAGGAATCTCACAACGATTTAGCTGTATCATTGGCAATAAATGATTGTAGAATGTGGGATTCAAGAGAACTTTGTAAAATGACCAGTGCTTGGCTATCTAATTGTTTCCAGCTAGCTTGATCAGATGCTGCTTTCTCGTTCCGAGCGTTAACTACAGCCGGATCTTCATCCTCTGCAGGAGCACTCGACAGAGCTGGGATTCGAGTGTGGAGAATATGGTCCCACAGTCCCTTGCTATTCAGAGCCGCCATGGCAGCTTTTGTCCAATAAAAGTAATTATCTCCATTGAGGAGAATCAGGATGAGTTTGCCTTGAGCTTCCATTGGATGGGTTTTCTGAGAAACACAAACAGGTAGAGGCAAACGAAAGAAATTCGTGAGATGTGGTGATTCAGAGACCTCTAGCTCTGATACCATAAAGAAAACAAAGGGACTTTTGGTTTGATTGAGAATCGAATGCTGGATTTGAAACAGAACAATGAACTTTTCTGCAGAAACTTGCAGATTTGAGAAAGGACTTAGGGGAGTGTTTTGATGAATAACACTTTATTTCCCTTGGTTCTTTGTACATGTGATGCTCATCGTATATGAAGAGAACAAAGATTACAAATATGTAAAGTGAATAAGTCAGAAAATAATTTACAGGAATAGAAACAGAATGTTTCCAACCTTGTGAGATATTGTAGCAGATTGTCTTCATATTTGGTCTGATTGTCGAGTTGCCTTTTATGCGGTTTCGTTTTAGGTCTGGATTTCTCGTCTTTCTGATTCTTCCAGGATTATCTCGTGCTCTGTCATAGCTGATCTCTGCTCAAATATTTCCTTTTGGATTATTTGTTCATCAACAATACTTCGGTTTTAGAAAAATTATAACCTTTGAATTTTTATATTGAATTTGGTTTGGTTTCGTTTTAGTTATTATAAAAATATTTCATTTTTTTAGAATAAATTTACGATTTTTTTTGTTATTTTTTCGTTCGCTTCGGTTCATATTTGGGTTCGGTTTTTTGGATTAGAGAAATCATAATCATTTCGTTTTTATGTCTAATTTTAAAAAAAATACGATTTTTTATTATTTTTTATCCGCTTCGTTTGAAGTTCGATATTTAAAAAATCATAACCATTCGGTTTTATATTTAATTTGATTCAATTACAGTTGTGTAATTTTTTTTTGGTATAAATGTGTTTTGTTGTGTTGATACCCGATAAATGACATTTACAAAAATTTCAAATCACCAAAAGCAATAGGGAATTCTCATGTTGTGCAAGCAAAAAAAAAAACAAAGATAGACTTAACTAGCTAATACGATACCATAGTAGCAGGATTTCATTCATCCTTGACTCTCCCGGTTTTTGCAAGGATATGAGAACATTTCTCATAAGTCGATCGACCTTGAGCTTCATCTGGTTCACCAAGACCCACTGATTCTTGTGAATATCGACGTTTCTCTATTTCCATATCTCATAAACTACCCGTTCTGTCAAGAGTTTCATTATGGTCCGCCTGTTGCGAGCTCCCATATTTACCGCACATTTAATCCAATCTAGGCAGCATCTCACATCCGGTGTTGGGTTCCCACTGAGCTTTTCGGCAAATGACAACTATAATGTGGAGCTGTAATCGCATTTGAAGAACAAATGCGTATGAGATTCGACATTTTTGCAGTACAAGATGCAACTGCTAGGCCCTTGTATTCCCCACTGTGCCACCCTATCTGCCGTTGGCAGTCTCTGTTGCAGTACCTGCCATAGAATGAAAGAGTAATGTGGAATTGCTCCCTTAAACCAGACCAATTCGTGCCATTGAACAGTCTGATTTTGTCGCCTGTTCTGCCTCCATGTTTGTCTTCCGTTGAACGTCATTTGGAAGTCGTCGTCTTTGTGCCGCCAAAGATAAATGTCTTGTCCCCTGGCCATACTTGGTGGTTCCATCGATGAGAGAATGATGTGCAATTGCTGTATTCTGTCATTCCTTGTCCTGGCAGATTCTAGTGGCCGTTACGGAATGCATCAATTATTTTCGTTGTTTTACTCATCCTCGTGAGTCTCGGACTCGATATGCCGATGAAGTCAATCAACGGTCCAACACTAAGCCAATTGTCGAACTAGAAAGATATACTTTCACCATTGCCCAGCTGAACCTTAGTAAACTGCCTTATCTCATCCTTTAGTTCGGAGCAGTTTCTTGAGGTTCCATGTGGCAATCGTGGTGTCGCCTGTTTTCCAATAAGTGCGTCCTCGGAAACCTAATTGTTCGGTTAGTAATCAAAATAACCGAACAATTATGTATAATTTAATTCGATGGTTTGGTTATGAATCAAACAAGTCATCCCTAATTGTCGTTACCATTAGTCTAATCTTGGTATCTCAGAGTACACAAATACTTTTAAATGAAGTTTAAGTAGATGGCACCAATTTCAAAACCACGTATTTCTCTAAGTCAAGAGATTTGTGAGATTAGAGTTTTGGAGGAGGAGACAAAAGATTAAATAACCATATGACCAAAATAAAACTTCGATTTGATTCCAATTACCCTCATCAATTTCAAAATCCAAACCACAATCTAATTGACTCTGATTTGAAAATAGTTAATGTTTTTTTTTTGTTGTTAAAGATTGTATTAAATAATTAACGTTGAAACGAGTAAAACCTTGAAAGTCCTATTGCGAATAAAAACGTGTAACAAAGCGTTTTGTCCAAAAAATCTGAAACTTGTACATATATTATATATATACACACATGCACAAAATAATAAGAATTAAATCATGACGTGCGTACGTGTATATGTAATACGTATATGTTCATCAAATTTCATAAACTCTTTTTAAGAGAAGAAAAAGAAAACTTGTACGGTCATACCGTTACTCTTGTACGGAGGCATAACTGAAATACGTGGGATTCAAACGTTAACAAGAGCATATGGAGCTATACACTCTGGTTAAAAAGCCTATTTTTACTTGGGCCGTCCAAATTAGGCCCATTGAAGGCCCAGTCGATTATATCTATTATTTATGTCCCACATCGGAAATATTAACACATACATAGCGGAGTCACGGCCATTTAATGAGTTGAAAAGCAAGCTCCTCAAATCACGGAGCCGTGCGATGAGCACAAAGCGAACTATTCTTTCGCCTTTTACTAAAGAATACCGTGTGCTCGTCGCATCATGCGTTATACGCCTATTGGACTGCTCTCTTAGAGCTCTGTCCCCATCAATCTCTATATGTTAAAGACTATAAATGTGGATAAGCAATCGAATTTGGAAATAAATATTTCCAAATCGAATGGTAACTGCTTTTGTGTCGGACCCATACATATCTATCAATCGAGATCCGGTAGATGGGTTTTGATCTTGACATTTTCATATTTTGTAATCAATCGAATTGAAATCTAATAAAATCGAACCCCTAAAACCGAAATGATAACCCGTGGGGTTTTGATTTCGGCCAATAGATTGGAATTGGCGACACCCCGAGCCTTTTAAATCGACGAGATTGTTGTCCCCTCCTCGGACCAACAGAATCCATTAAAAACTCGAGTAGCCGAGGTGCATTTATAACCATATCTTGTTAATTTTTTGTTTTCAATTTATCATTCCATTGAAGATTTGGATACAAATTCTCGGTCCAAAGGATTTAGATCCCACACAGCTTCCTTTGGACTGAGAATTTAGATCCCATACAGATTTCTCTTTGAGTATACGACACAGGTTACCTACGAGGGATCGAATAGCATCCTGGAATCCAAACACGATGTTGCGATGTCTACTATGTGATGGAGCAGACGAATCGATCGATCATCTCTTCTTCGTATGTGGCTATTCGAAGCAAATCTGGGCTATTTGGCTTAGGGCAGAGCCGGTGTCTCCATTGCAAACTGCATCCTAAATTTAATAAGATTTTTTTTTTGGTTAAAAAACTTTAATAAGATTTTATAGAATAAAAGTAAATAATAAATATTCAACACACGGTCTCTTGCTAAATGGCCACGTTCTTCGTTTAACATGCACAACGACACGAAACAAAAAACTACAAAAAAAAAATCTCAATAAAAGTTAAAAACACCACTTAACCAAAAAAAAAAAATTGAAACCCAAACCAATAAGAAGAAAAAGGAGATTCTTGGTCGGAGATATGGATTCCGGCGAGGATAAGATCCCTCCGGGAGACCGGACGGCGGTCGGAACGACGGTGGTGGATGTCGGAACGATGATTCTGCAGAGGCGGAGACCGGTGAAGCAAATGAACCAACACGTCTCCACCTTCTCAATCTACGGCGGAGATATGCCACGTCAGATCTCGACCCACCACTTCCTCCACCGCCTCAACTCCGATTTCCTCCAGTCCGCCGTCTACGATTCCGACTCCTCTGGCGCACGTCTCATCGGTAAATAATTATCTAATTATTTCGATTTAAATTTTAAATTTTAATTTTGCATGTTTTTGTAACGGAGATTGCACGAAACTTAATCCCCCCTTTATGTCATTTAGATTTTTTTTCCAATTTTTAAGAAAATATAAAAAAAACACATATATACCATCATTAAATTATATTCTCATTATAATGGGAGTATTTTCAATTAAGGCTAAAATTAAAACTATCTTAAAAAGTCATCTAAAAAGTCTAAAACCATATCTATTAAATATAAAAAAAAAATGATTCTGGTTTTTCTTAAGGGGTGAATGGAAATAAACCGTTCGGACAGAAAATCTCAATCTTTGTCGGCATCTCTTTCGTTCACTTGGATTAATTTGCTTATTCACCATCACGTTTATTTAATTACGAATATATAAAAGATATTGCACCGATTGATACCATGATTAAATCGCCCTTTCCATTTCTACCCAGTGTAATTTACTGTTCGTTGAATTATATAATTTACAGAGGATGGATTTAATCCGTTGAATTATATAATTTACTATATATATATATATATATATGCAATTATACAAAATTTTCCAAGAAGAATGAAATTCAATGAATTATTTATTCGCGTGTGCATCAAAGACGATGTATCTTTCTTCTAACATTAGAATCCGAATGTTATAACATTTTTTTTGCAGGGATTGAATATATAATTTCGGATCGGTTATACGAAAATCTACCGCAAGACGAGCAAAAGCTATGGCACTCTCACGCTTACGAGGTCAAGTCCGGGGCTTGGATTTATCCGCAAATGCCCGAAAAGTTAGTCGCTCCCGAGCTCAATAACATCGCCAAGACATACGGCAAGTTTTGGTGCACTTGGCAAGTGGACCGAGGTATTAACCCTAAACCGATCGGTATCAAGAAAATCCGGTTATGACCCGGTTAAGGAATTCGGTTTTAAATTACCGTTCGGTATTCTCGCGTGTTTAGGCGATAAGCTACCGATTGGTCCGCCCGAGCTGATGATGTCGCCACAGGCCGTGGACCGAGGGGTGATCAGGCCTGAGCTCGTAAAGAGCCGGGATGAGAAGTATAAGATTTCAACCGATGAATTGAAGCATCGGAGGGCGGAGATAGCGGAACCCGAGTGGATTAACCCGATGGCCGATTACTGGAAACAGCACGGTAAGTGTTTCCTACTCGATATCGTCCCTGTCGAGATGAACCGTAACGCACCTTTCCCTTGAACCGAGTATGGAACTATTAGATGAGTACGGAACTATAAGATATAATCAGGTTCTGTGAAAAAACATTGTGTAACATCATTTTCAATTTATTTGGTAATTCCGAAAAACCGAAATTATAATAGATAGCGTACCGGTTATGCAAATTAACCGCAATACAATCGGAATACACAATTTAGGACATTCTCGGATTAATAGATACGGAAACATTTGGTGATAGTAATTAATCTTCATGAGCTCAACTTGTGTGAAACACACACACGCATTGTTCTTATGTATGCGTTCAAAGTTGAGCCAACCTTGAGATATCGAAGGGATAAGCGTCGGAAGATGATCGAGCACGGTACGATCGTTGGCCTATGATCGTGTTCGCGGCCTCGGTCGGGTGGAACGCGTCCCAGAAGACGTATGCGTTCCGGCTCTGGCAAGGTCTCTGTCCCGGTAGACATGTGATCTGACCGCCATTCCTCCCGACACCGCAGCATCCCGCGTTCGTTACCCGAAACCCTAGAGAAATCGGAAATTCAAGTTCTTAGTTCTCAATTTGCATATATGCATTACCATTTTGTCAATGCTACTAGGGTTTGATATTTTGGTTACGTTATGAGTTCGGTTTTTTCAACCAAAAAAAAAAAACAACGTTAAAACTAGTTCGAACAGATTTCGGTCTGATTTCAGTTCAAACGCGTTTTTATTAATAAAAATATTTATTTTTTTAAAAGAAATTTTAGCTATTTATATATATATATATATATTTTATAAAATTATATTCATTAATTTCGAGTTTATATCTCTGAATGGTTTGAATTAGGTTCAGATCAGATTAGACTATATATATATATATATTACTACTTTGAATTTTAAATAACTATACTCATGTGGGTTTTATAATTAGTTTTTAGCCTGGTTTTGATTCAAACTCGTTTTCATTAGTAATAATCTCTATTTTCTAAATAATCTTCTGATTATTTTTTTATTATATTTTAAAAAATGGATTTTACTTTTAGAAAAAGTCAACTCTACGACCACACTAGTCAACGCCTGGTCTGTCGGTTTAGACCAAAGTGTTAGTCAAAAGTAATATACACATGGGTTAGAAACGTATTATATAACGTACCATAGGCAGATGGGTGTTATTAATCAAGTCTTGGAATATTATATACTCATTCGATTTATATATATATATATATATATATATATATATATTGTTCGAATTACCCACCCTCATTAATTACTACTAGTAATGGTTTAGAAAAGTCAACTCTAAGACCATGCTGGTCAACGTCAGTGGTCTGTCGGTTTTGACTGTGTATTCAAAAGTAAAATACGGGTTAGAAACGTATAATATAATGTACCGTAGGCAGAGGGGTTGTTAACCAAGTCTTGGAAAATGCCGTAAGCGTTGATGTAAATGAATTTGGCGTCGGGGAGGTTGTTGTTGAGGCGGTCCACGAGGGATCGGAGCTTGTTGTTGAATATCTGGTTGGCCGAGTTTATTCTCTCGTCGCACGTCCTTCCGTCGCGGCTGTTCGCCAGCTTGTTCGGGCTGCAGCCGATGGCTCCGACCCCTATCAACGCGAATTTCCTCGCCCCGTAATTGTACAGAGCCTGAAACAAGAACACGTAAATCGAATTCACAGAATCTTCCATTAAGTATCTGAAATCGGACAAACACGAAGAGAATTCTCAAGATCGAGATCGAGATCGAGAAAACGTACGTTGAGCTGTTGGCTGTACCGATTGATAAGATCATCGGCGAACTGCTCGGGAGTGAACTGTCGGCTCGAGGAGTAGAACGTGGGCATGAAGTAGTTGTTAAGATAATCATTACTCCCTAATCCGACCGAGTAAATGCACCTCCTTAGATAGTCGGCCGCCGTATTCTCGTCGCCGAGAAGATTCACCACTTGCGACACCGTGTTCTGGTAATTTCGGACTTGCCCACTAAAGCTAATCCTTTGTCCCTTCACCAAAGCATAAAAGAGATTCAATCTTTCGGACATAATACGACAAAGAGAGTAAAAGTTGTGCTAGATTTGATAGGGTAAGAATGATTGTACCAATTGTCGGCCGGTTTCTTCTCGGATTCCGGCAGCAGCGGAAGCGTAGTTGACGCCGGAAAGTATCTGCCGGCCACTCGCGGCACTGTACGGAGGGATGTAGCCATCAAATCCAAGTAGTTGAGCTTCATCACGTCAACAATAAATAAACTAATGAGTAGATCATATTTGATTAAATTTGACTTTTATATATATATATACATATATATATGTATGTATCTTGGATGAATGGATTATAACATCATAGTCACTTGATCTAGATAAGAGTCAAGATTATGTCAAAGTGTCAAAGCTTAGAACTTCATTCGAATCTAGGACGTACGCTTTGTCATGATCGTTTTAGATCCATCATATAATTTAATTTGTAATAATTAACCAAAATATCTTTGACTTTTAATGGAAAATAATTTGTTATTACTAAACGACGAATATATCCATTACCAAGTGTACTGTCTGTACCCACGTAAATGTATCGACATATGTCTGTTTAATGGAACAAAATGTTGAACAATAAATATCTTTCCTGAAATAATTGAGAGTGGTCCTCCAAGGAGCGTTTGAGAATCCAAGTTATATTTACTTAGAAATCAAAATTACGAATCCTAAATAGGAAGCTTACCGATAACATCGACGGTGGTTTTCCCGTTGGAGAATCGGCCGGTCGGGCCGCCGGGAAAATCAATACCGTAGGGGAAATAATTTGCTCTCGCGAGAGAAACGAGACGATTGTTGTTTCCATTGTCGACTAAAGAATCGCCAAAGATGAAGTAACATGGAACTTGCGGGGCCCCATTTACCCTAAAACCCAACATCAATCCAAATATTAACCCCACAAAAACCATATACCATTTCCTCATGTAACCCTCCATTTTCACAAAAACAAAACCCTAGAGAGAGAGAGAGAGAATATAAGGGTTTATGTTGAAGTGATTAGGGTTTCATAGGAATGGGAAGCGCAGAAGGGATGGATGTGAAGAAATCTCAAGTAGGAGTGTGTTTATATATTGGTAGTGCGGGAGAGCAGATATTTGCATGTGTGTTGCTTTATCTTTGTCATCACCTAGTGGTTAACATATTTAAGATTTGTGGGTCCAATAAAAAATTATCTTTAATAAAAAGTGCAATATTGGCATTTCGATTATCTTTTTTCAATCATGACACTTCGACACCGAACCTTCCTCTTAACCCTTTGTTAATTATAGATTGGATCTTTTGTTTGATAACGTTCTCCGGAACTTCGGACTGACTATATTACATGAGCCTAGAGAGTCAATCTTTAGTCCGCAATTAATTTACGCAGTTTCTTCCTACTATAAAGTTGAACCGACCACCTTGAACACTTGACAATCGTTTTATGATCCGGTCACCTCAAACACTATCACTCGGCCAGATCTTATAATCCCGATTTCTTCTAACCCTTTGTTACTTGATCATTCTACACACTTATTCTTATTAGTTTTAATCCATTTTCTAATTTTATCTTTATTAGTTTTAATTAGCACAAATCCCCTTGAAAAAGTAATTAATTGATCAATATATTTAGTGCTGTATTTCGGTTTCACTCGATTCAATCCAATATTACGAATCTTCACATGAAAACCATAGTCCGTATATATACTTCTAGAAAATTGGGATATACTCTCTAATAGATACATCTATATATATAAGGGTTGGATTAGGTCCTAAACCATACAAACCCTCCCCTAAAAAGTCGCAAATTAATGTGTATTATTGGGGATAACTTGTATTAAAAAAAGTGTTGATTAATTTAAGGATAAATATAATAAATATTAGAAGAATATGGATAAATATGTAGAATTGTTAAAAGGGTTTGTAGGTGAGGATGTTAGGTTTGCATTAAATAAACGCGGACTATAATGTGAAATGTAGCTACGCATGGCGGGCTAGTCTCCGCACCCCTAATATTTCTTTTTCACGTAATATGCATAAGAAATGGTCCAATCCAAACAAACTTTTTTTTTTTTATAACGGAGGATCCCTACCTGCTACCCTTCGAGCGCGCTGACTAGATAAACCTCCGGTCCGAGAGTAGCCTTTGTATATGGATCATATAAACCCAAAAATTACCTCTCTTCCCGCCAGCCAAGAATCGAACACTCAACCTAAAGGTGGAGTTAACTCTTAGGATCACTCGCCCACGATCTGTTGGGTAATCCAAACCTAAACTTATACGTACATATATACATACATATATATCTCAAAAGTCAAATCCTATATGAGGGGAAGACCAAAAACAGCTAAGGAACAACTCGAGATTTAGCGACTATTCCGCAGCTTCATACTACCAAAATTCAGAATAGGGAAATTTCCATTAAGTGCTTCAATTTTCTAAAATATGTCAAACAAGTATTAGAATTTTTAATTTGTCTAATTGATAACTCAAATATTAAAATGTTTCGAATTGATTACAGTAAAATCAATAATAATTTTCAACTTCAAATTATAAAACGAATGAACTATTGAAATTTTCCCACAAGTTGTTGTAAATAACTAAATATTATGGTAGCATGTTTCATTCTTAATTTTTTTTTTTGGATAAATCATTCATATGAAAATTAAGAATTGATATCGATTTCATGAATTAGAGTATCAATTTGAGATATTTTAACTTTTAAGGTATAATTTTGAATATATTAATATTTGTGGTGTTAATTATTAATTTAGTTATTTAGTTGTCATATTTTAAAAATTGAGATATTTATATGTGATTTTCACTTCAGAATATTATTTTTTTTACATTGAATATATACTCCACCTATATATCTCTACCAATTTTACCAACTTTATAATGCAACCCCTCAATACAAGTAAGTAAATGTCCTAACCTAAAATTATAAATGCATGGATCTCATCATATAGAAATCAGACTAAATAATTTCACCAAACCATGATGATATTTTTCGTAGGTTATAAAGGAAAGGATGTAATAAACCGACATAGTAATAAATATATGGTGAGGATTTCGTTGACGGTTGGATGTCAATAATTTCGATCTTTATTATAGATGTAGCCTCGAAACTTCGAAGATAATAATAATAATAATAATAATAATTCATTCAAACGATTATGCCCCGTTACAATATTTTATATTTTATATAAAAGAAACCCTATTGTCTATTACGTCTATTTCATAAAAATTTTGTTAACGTGATATTAGTGAATCGTTTAGCCATGGTGTATTTTTTTTTGTCTCTTTGTTACTTTTTTGTTGTTGAAATATAAATATCAGCAACTTTAATTTATTATTAATGTCCCACGAGTTAGACCGATGAATTAATTTCCTCCCCCGTAGTAATTTTTTTTAAATGATGTTATAGTAATGTTTCCAAATGAAGTAACATTTCATAGAAAACACGACATACGATTTACTCCAAGTAACCTACCATTTCGCACCATATAAAAAGAGAGAATAGCAAGAGAAAAGAAAAGGAAAATACCATAAAAATATCCAAAAAATACAAAACAATATTTAATTTTTAATTTGATAAATAAACACACTAAATATTGAAATATGCAAAAAAAAAAAAAAAAACCGTTAGTTAGCCTCTTGAAATCGAATTTTTTTTTTATATATGTTCTTTGAGTGTACTATATAGATGATTCTACTCAAATTGTTTGAAATTTATTTATATACAGATTTTAACGAACTTTAACGATCTTTATTCGAAAACAATTTTATATTCAAATTCTAACGAAATAATCTTTGTGTAGGATAATATTTAATTTATTTATTTATCAAATTAAAAGTAACGCTATTTTTTTATATATTTCGTAGAGTTAGTATATTTTTATGAGATTTTAAAAATAATTGTAAATATTTGGTGGAAGATGCAAGAGTATTTATAAAAGGCCGGTGTAAATTAAGTCCAAGTTTGTAACTATTTGGACCAAATAATGAAATAAGGCTCATATTCATTAAGGCTCAGTTCACAGCCGGTTTAGAGTTGGACTGGACTGCATTGCATGGACATACATAAGGCAAAATAAACACTATGGTTTTTTTTTTTTTCTAAATACAAAGTAATAATAAAGAAACGCATTCCAACGAATTCACTATAAGATACTGAAAGAAATGCCTGTTTGTATATTGATCAATGTGATATAGTAGGTTGTCAATTTTGATTCGAATCTCGAAATACGACTCGAGTTTCACCCGAAAAATATCAGATTTTGAGTCTAAATTTATCGGTTCGAAAAAATTTGAATTTTTCAGGTCGGTTTTAAATTGGGTTTCAGTAGATGTGAAAGTCCGATTTTTTTTTCCAAAAAATATTAATAAGAAAATATTTACAAAGAAGGATTTGACTAATCTGGCCCGAGTCTGATCCCGAGTCTTATAGAACCGGATTTCGGGCTTCGTTGTATAGAACCGAAACAAATTTGGTTGGCCTGAACTCATACCCGAAACTTTCGAATCGAGTGCGGGTTCGAGTCGGACTGTCCTTTTTGACTTTGTTAGAATGAAATCTTTGACAAAAATTTAATCATAACTAAATAATATCATTATATTAACGCCGTAAACTAACCATATACAAACCGAATAAATAACATATATGCAAACCGAATCATATTAACGCCGTAAATTAATGTAATTAACCGGTATATATATGATAGAATAATATGCAGCGACAAAATATTATCATTTTTTTTTCCAAAGGATCTATTTAAGAGTTCAAATTTTTAAAATCTGTCTAAAAATATTTCTGCTTGGGATCTTCGAGAAATCAAAATCTATAATAACATATATCTCACAAAATAGAAACGATATTCTGAATTTGTATATTCCAGAAATAGGAAATAAAAGGAAAGGAAGTGCATAAGCCGACAACATAATAAATATATGGCGAAGACTTTTTTGGACGGATGGGTGACAAAATAAATTCGACATGTTATTATATAGATGTAAGTCTCGAAATTTCAAAGATAATAGATAATCGATTTAAATGTTTCATGTACCTTTACAAAAGTCATTATATCAAAAATATCTTTGTTTTGCTATTCATACTTCAACACATAACATTTTCCAATTGTGACCATGTGATCCATGCGACCCAAAATATAGTGTGATCACATTTTGATTTTATTGATTATAACGTTAAATTTATGGTGATCTCACTATTTCATTATGTTCATATATTGTATATCTTAGTAATTATTTGATTAAAACATTATAAATTTAACATTATGAACAATAAGATCAATATATGACCACACTATATTTTGGGTCACATTGGTCACATGGTCACAATTGGAGAAGGGTATATGTCGAAGTAGGAATAGCAAAATAAATATATTTTTGATAATGACCCCTTTACAAAAGGGAAAAAACGTCAATCGCTATCTTCATAATAATGTTGCTAACGTGATTTTAGTGAAGTTGTTAGCCCAAAGTATATATCTCTATCAGCCACTTTAATTTTAATTTTGTTTATTTATAAGAGTTTGGACCAATGGATTTCATTCCCTCTTTTGTAAGCTGCTTTAGTAAAGCTTTTCTATTCCACGTTTACAGAACCTCTACCTCAGTCCGAAGCTTCCATTATTTTCGAAAATAATATATATATCTACATATATATGACTTTCGAAAATAATTAATTAAATCCAATTCGACTAAGCCGATAGGTTGTCTTCGTACAACATTTGTTGTAAGAAGTTTCTTAGTTCAAGTCTCTGTTCTTGTTTGACATGAACCTATAACGCACATTTCAATTGAACATAATTAACCATTATATCGATCGATCGCTCGAATCGGATTTTACACAATATGTTTTCGACGGTCCAATACAACAAATCAACTATAACATTTAACCGGAATACGGTCCTAATACAATCATCTATAAGAAGAAGAAAAGCAGGTGTTCTCTCGCATGAATTATAGACTTTGTATATGTTTTTCAAAGTTGCGCCAATCTTGAGATATCGATCGGATAAACATCGGAATACGACTGAGCTCGGTACGATCTCTGACCGATGATAGCGTTGGCGGCCTCGGTTGGATGAAACGCGTCCCAGAAAACGTATTCTTTCCGGTTCGGACAGGGATTCTGTCCCGGCAGACAAGTTATCTGACCATTGTTCCTCCCTACCCCGCAGCACCCGGCGTTCGTTACGCTAAAACCTAAAAAAAATGCGTAGATCATTGTAATGTGCATTTACAATAGAGGTTAAAACTTAAAACCCTAAATATGTTTAATTACGATAGTACCCTTGTAATCATTTTCATTGCCTCGCCAATTCTATTATGTCAATCTTGTAGAGTTTTGCAACGCACCGTAGGCAGAGGGGTTGTTAATCAAGTCTTGGAAAATGCCGTAAGCGTTTACGAATGTGAATTTGGCATCGGAGAGCTCGTTGTTGAGTCGGTCCACGAGGGATCGGAGCTTGTTGTTGAATATCTGGTTGGCCGAATTGATTTCGTCGTCGCAAGTCGTGCCGTCGGGACTATTAGCCAACTTGTTCGGGCTGCAACCTATGGCCCCGACCCCTATCAACGCGAATTTCCTTGCCCCGTAGTTGTATAGTGCCTAAACAATTCAATAGAAGCGAACAAAAACGTTACGAAAAATGTGTCCTGCCGCGAATTTCTCCGGACCAAACCAAGCATATATATCTCTAGTAACCGACTCGGACCCGAATCAAAAAGTCAGGAACTTTATCAAACCCATGTGAAATTTCGGGCTAAAAATCGATCCAAGAACCCGTCACATAGAGCTGAAACACGTACGTTTAGCTGCTGGCTGTACCGATCGATGAGATCATCGGCGTACTGTTCAGGAGTGAACTGTCTGCTCGAGGAGTAAAACGTGGGCATGAAGTAATTGTTAAGGTAATCGTTGCTTCCTAATCCGATCGAGTAAATGCATTTCCTGAGATAATCGGCCGCAGTGTTCTCGTCCCCGAGCAGATTCACCACCTGTGCCACCGTGTTCTGGTAATTCTGCACTTGCCCGCTAAACGTTATCCTTTGTCCCTACGATCCAAAGATCAAGTTTTTCATCAAACAGAATGATCAAATACCGGTTTCGAAATCAGACACTATTACACAAGAGACCAGATCTATGTAAGTTGTGTCGGGCGAAATCTTTAGCCAAAAGTACCAGTTGCTGTCCTGATTCTTCTCTGATCCCAGCCGCCGCAGAAGCGTAGTTCACTCCGGTGAGTATTTCTTGACCATTCACACCACTGTACGGAGGGATATAGTCGTCAAATCCAAGTAGTTCAGCTTCATGACAGAACCAAGAAACATGTTAGATTCTGACTACTGTCTGTAAGCTGAAACCGACACAAAACATTACAAAACGAAGTTTTGAAAACTTTTCACGATACCGATGACATCGACGGTGGTTTGGCCGTTGGAGAAACGTCCGGTGGGGCCGCCGGGGAAATCGATGCCGTAGGGCAAGTAATCGGCTCTTGCAAGAGAAGAGAGCTGATTGTTGTTCCCATTGTCTACCAAGGAGTCTCCGAAGATGAAGTAACATGGAACTTGAGGCTCTCCGTTTACTCTAGAACCCAACATTAACCCTAAAAACACTACACACCAACACCATTTCCTCAAGTAACCCTCCATTTCAACCAAAAGAATATATAAAAAATAAATCTAAAAGTGTTTTTTTTTTGTGAAATATAATCAAAGGGTGTATTGATATGGGAGATGTAATGGTGATTGTGAAGAAATCGATAGAAGTGGTGTGTCTGTATATATAGAGTAGGAGAGCGGCAATGGTGAGCTTTGTGTGTTTGTTTTTTTTCTTCTTCTTTTCTTGTTTTATTTTGTTTGTGGCCTATGTATTTTTAAGGCGGGTGGGTCCAAGAAATCAATCAGACACATTAATATTATCTAATTCAGAATATGTAATCCAAAGTTTTTTTGGTAATGATAATCTAAAGAACCAATAATCCCGGGCTAAAATTTTTGTATTAATTAATAGAATTTTCTTATTCCATATATATAATTATATATATAAATGTTGCATTGAGTTATTAAAACATTGGTGACAATGTATTTTTAACCTAACTAAACCATCTAATTATAACCCTTCATTAAGGCCAATCTAAGTGTAATTAGAAAGAACCGCAGTTCTACAATGTTTTGTCATCTCTTTCTATCTCTCTCTCTCTCTCTCTCTCTCTCTATATATATATATATATATATATATATTGACCATTATCTTTAGAAGTCTTGCTATAGAGCTCTGTTTTTGTTATAAATGATTTAAATTATTAATTATGTAAACGAATTGACTAATTAAAAGACAAGGCAGCTTTCAAATGATTAAGCAGATGTCACCGTTTTTTTTTTGGAAGAGAAGGAAAATAAACATGGGAAACAAATTCTTCAAAAATAGATGATACTCACTAATTTAATTCGGAAGTAATTTTTTTATAAAAAACAAATTAGAAATTTTTTTTACGCGTATAATGCTAGATATATGTTTCATTTTGGGGAATATATATAATGGAGCAATGCGATATATATATATATATATATATATATATATATATATATATATATATATGCCCTTTTCATAAATATAATTTACAAATAATCACATGGATGCATGTGCGACCATATATCCAAATGCATAGAGCTCTCAAGAAAATCAAGATTTCGTGTGTCGTTATGATTAGGGCCACTCATTAATTTATGCAAATGAGAGTGAGTACGTAGAAATTGTTAGAGAGAGTTTACAGGTGAAGATGTTACGTTTGCATTTAATTTCACGCGGTTCATAATGTGAAGCCTACTGGTACCCTCACTCTCCGACCCTATATATATATTAATATATATAGAAAATCGCATATTAATATACGAAAGAATTTGTAAAAATATACAAACTTTAATATTTTCAAAAAAATATATATGAACTTTTCTTAATTTCTACATTAAAATCCGAACTTTAAAATGGTTTCCAAAAATCACTATATTATGTTACTGTTTGGGAGTTATTTAAAAGTTTAGGGTTTAATTTTATGACGGTTTTTTAGAATAATTTAAAAGTTCGTTATTTATTTTTATTATTTTTTTAAAAAAATTCAGATTTAATAATCGTGGACTTAAAATCCATCATCTAATGGTTAAAATTAAATCTCTTAACAGTTTTTTTTTGTTTACCAAAAAAAAAAACTATGATTTATAAGTTCAAATTCAATTAAAATAATAAAAAATATCTTTTTTTTTTCTGTGATGGATGGCTATTTTTTATTGATAAAAATATCTCAATATACATGACAACCTATTTATCTTTTATTTTGGGAAATTTTTATTTTGGAAAATCAAGATATTTATTTGACGCTTTTAGCACCAATGTATCTCTTGAAGTCCCTTTACAAGTTATTAACTTATTATACATCGCATATGCGTCCATTAATAGACGAACAGCCAAAAAAAAAAAAAAAAGAGACTCAATTATTATTTCAATTTTTTTGTAATATGTACAAATCATTATTTCAATTTTTTTATTCTAGATAACGGATTATATTTTTTTTATGTGTTACCATATGAATTTTTTTAGCACTATAAATGATCAAATAAAATATAATTTAATCTAAAATTTTATCTTTTGTAATGCCATCATTTGTTATTGGATCCATTTGTTTTCATGTACCTTACACACAGGTTCCAAAACCCTAGAAAACATCAAATAATGTTATTTAGATCCCCAAAAATGCTTTCTTATATGCCTCCATGCATGTGACATTCACTTATATGTTTAATTAACCATAACTCCAAGCAAGGAATAATTAAAATTAAAGACTATCCACTTGTGCTTTATCTTCTACATACGCAGTCTATATATTCGAGAATATATTTATATGAATATATATATATACACACACATTTGCGTATACGTATATGTACTTGCAGGGTCTAAACCGCGAATCAATGACATGTATAATTACTTGCATAATATATATTCCAATTCTTTAACCGCCGTAATTCACTCTGTCTAAACTTCAATGGAAATTGTACCGTGGTAAAAAAAATAGTGCTTGCAAAAGAAATTACTATTGAACGTAAATGATATAAACAGTACATAATAATTTTTTTATTCATATAATATAGTTTTTATTTACGTTTTCTCGTCCTTTTTTTTTCCTTTTTCTTTTCTATGCGATTAATCTTTTTTTTTCGTTTTTTTTTCTATATGAGTAGAAAAGCCGTGAGGAATACCGTCGCCGCCGTAGTAATTTGACTGCTGCGTTGCGTCTCACACGTGTGATCATTGGTTTATATTTTGACTTTAAACGCAACTTGATGTTTGGTTATTAACTATTGAATTGTCGGTCCATTATTTACCAACTCAATATCTAATTCGACTGTCCAAATACAGAGATTGAAATATCGACATATGCTTTGTAATCGTTGCCTTTCTTATCTCTTATCCTTTATATGTATATCTAATTTGGGTCGATCATTTCAGTTATTAACCAAATAGTCCAACCAAATCGAACAAAAAAAAATTGATATAAAGACCGAATTGTTACGATTTCTCTAAACCCGAAAAAATCAAGTCCAACCAAATAAAAAAAATCGAAAAATCGATTTTTTTTTAAAAGATAATTTTTTTTACCAATAGAAAACGATCAATTATTTTTACCAATAAAAATGAGTTCTTTTATAACGGGTAGACCAAGCATGTAGAATTTATCACATGCAATGTATAACCTTTTCGTTCTTATCTCATCTAAATTATGTTTGACTTTTGAAAGAGAGAGAAATTTAATAAAAGTAATAAAATCTTAGAAAAAAAAAGCAATAAAGTCGGACAAAATCCAGATGTAGTCCTATCAAAATCAACTTATAAAATACAACAAAAAAATATCTATTACTTGCAACAAAAGCTTGGAATTTTATGTGATGATTTAACAATCAAGTACATCTCTAGATCATCATTTGTAAGAAAAAAAGACAAGTATATAGGTTTTATAAAAATAGAATAAACAAATTAGAATGGAGAAGTCAACCAAGAAAACCATAGAATACGATATAAACTAAAAAATGACAAAAAGACAAAATTTTGTAATATATATATGAAAGGTGGAGAGTTTAAAAACAAACCCCGTGTTGTTGGATATGCACAATATTATCTACAAGCTCTTTAATTAATATGTTATTAGAGGGAAAAAAAATAAGTTAAATGGCATTTATTATAAATTAGGCTTTTAAATAAAAAATAGAGTTATACAACATTTTAAAATAAAAATTTATTTCATTCCACCCAGTGGCGGATCCAGGAAAATTTATGAGTGGGGACCATAATTATTATATATAAAATATCTATAAAAAGTTAATAAAATATGTCAAAACAATATTTATATTCTATTATTAGATTTTACTATTCTTTATTTTTTAAAATATATTTATAACAATTTAATTTATAATTATCTGAAATATATCTTTTTCGATAAAACAAACTATATAATTATTCAAAAATTGATCATCAAAATGATTACGCAAAATTATTTTCACAAATTTATCATTAAAAATATGTCTTTAATATATTTTTTTAACATCAAGATGGTATACTAAATCATGTAAATTAATTTGTTGAGAGAGAGATCTAAACTAATAACGTGATATATTATTGATTGAAATTTTACGATATTGATGCAAAGTTTTTTTGTCTTAGAAAAAAAGTTTCTTTTTGAAATATTTGTCAATTGGTTTATATATATATATATAAACAAATTTATAAATATGATCAAAATATAGAAATTGATGAATAAAAAAAACTATTAGATTTTTGTTTTTGTAGAGAATTGAAAGAGAATAAAAAATAGATAGAAAATAAGACTAAAAAAGGACATTTTAAAACCTAATATTTAGAGACACAAGAAATTAGAAAAAGAAAAAAAGAATGGGAGGGGGCCTAAGAAAAAATTTAACGGGGGCCTTCAACCTTTTTTATCAAAATTTTATAACAATTATAAGTAAATTAATTTTTTTCCCTAAATATATAGGGGCATGAGACCCCACTCCCATACATGTGGATCCGCCCATGATTCCACCTGATATTAAATATCATTTTCTCAAAAAATTTCACCATTTTTTTTATAATCTAAAAGTTCACCGAACTTTTTATCCGACTGCATATCCCAAAAGATCGAAAAAGTCCATATGAATGTTCTTCTCCAAGTGAGTACTCGGACCCGAGTTGAAAAGGAAATTTGTTCCTTTCTTTATCGGTTGAGTCATCCAATCTTGAGTGCAATCGTTCTTGACGCCAAATTATTTATAACAAATTTCATTTTTTGTCTTTATTATCTATTTATTTTACATGATAAAAAAAATAAATTTGAAATTGAATCAAATGAGTGCATTTAAACTTAGAATTATCTAAAGAAAAAACTGAATTCAATGAAAAAAAAATCTTGACTTTTTTTTAGATGAACCCTACCCTTGTGAAAATTTATCCAAAACTCAAATTAATTAATTGAAAATTCTTGAAGACTGAATAATTACTATTTATGATAAGTTAATCGAACCTGCTGTAACAAAGCTGTATAATACATGTGAAAACAATGAATATTGAACTACATAATTAGAAACGGATAATACCAAGCTGGATTTAATTAATCAAAATTAAATAAGTGCAATTTATTTATAACTTTTTCACACGAAATAAATGTGACCCGAGTCATTTCGTACATACGTACGTACGTTGATTCATGCAAACTGTACCAGAGAGAATTTACGCAGCAAAGTATAAAAAGACACGAGTAATAAATTTTTAATAGTAATTAATAAACTGAATATTATAATTAATTAATTATCGATGGCAATAATTTAACTAAGACGTGGGCCACAAGTAACGGGACCTCATTTGTTTGTTGGTTTGTACACGCAGACGTCTAGCTTCCGTTTCCAGTAAAAACACATTACAAGTAATTTTCCAAGTTTCCAACTACATATATATATATATATATATATACTCGTAACGTTAATTTCTTTGTTTAAAAAGATATATTTTGTTCATAAAACATACTTTTTCTTGCATTTGAATTGACCAAATTTATTTTGAATTTGACTCCTAGACATCAAATTTTTAATTGGAATCTATTATCTAGTGATGGTATTAATATATTCTAAAAGAAATAGAGACGATTACAGGTCAAATTTGTTAATCCAATTATTTTGATATTCATTTCAATTCGATTAATTCAATTTTTTAAAAATTATATTTAATTAGTTTTCTTAAATATCGATATATATTATTGGTTGGAATTATTATTTTTTTTTAATTTTAGAAACGCCCCTTGTTGAAAAATAAATTTCTAATTGGCAGTGTACGCGTAAATACACAGACGTATATAGATAAATTAATCATCATTAATATAATAATTGTTTTATTTCCTATCACATATACATACACAGATACATATAGAGAGAGAAAGGGCATCATCTGATTCCTCAGACACAGTCTACGAGTTTTGTGTAGTTTCTACGTTTTCCTCCTTATATAAACCCTTCCATTTCTTCCCATTTCTTCACTGTTCCAATTTTCCCCAATTTTTACAAAATCCCCAAACCCTAATTTCCCCAATTCGCTATCTGTCTCTTCAATATTCCTTTCGATTTCGGAAATGGCGGAGGAGTTCGACGAATCCGAAGTGATTTTCTCCCACAATTTCTCCGATCATCGACACCGGGAGGAGGGGAATTCTCCGCTCGTACTTCTCCGGGGGCGATCCATCGGCGAGGATAGGCGGCGGAGTAAGACGACAACGAAGACGGCGCTGTCGAGCTCTTTGCCGGTGAAAATACCTCCGGAGAATGTGTTCCGGAGGTACCCTGCGGCGGCGGAGGAATTCTCCGACGAGGAAAATTCCAACGGCGGTGGAGGAGAGATCGTACCGCCGCACGTGATCGTCGGGAGGAGGATTCAGGGAAAAATGGCGTTCTCCGTCTGTACAGGGAACGGGAGGACTCTAAAGGGACGGGATCTGAGCCGGGTTAGAAATTCGGTTCTGAGGTTAACCGGTTTTTTGGAGGCCTGAACCGGTCCGGTTCGCCATCCCAACTCCTCTCCATTTTTTTTTTGGAAAAAAAAATCTTAAAACCAATTAGCAATCTCGTGTTCTTTTAGTTAATTAAATCTACGAATGAAAACAAAAAATCGAGTTCCGTGTAATTTTTTTCCCTTCTTCACAGAAATCGATTAGTGGATAGTGGTAACAAATTGGATAAAAAAAAGTTGCGGGGTTATAATATAATAAAAGATAATTCGTTGTTATGATCCATCCATCCGAAGTTTTCCTTTTGTGTATCAATTTCTTTTGTACTTTATTTCAATTTTTTAGAATTTTATTGGAAAATTATGAAACTGTGAATCCTTTTTGCGTTGGAATATATCTTTGTGTGTCGATTAGGACAAAGCCCCAACAGACACAGCTGTCTATAGTATTGAATTATTGATTGAGAGAGACGGTGACATCAACCCCATATATATATATATATATATATATATATATATATATATATATATGTATGTATGATGATTCAAATTTTGTTCTATACATAAAAAAATATCTCTATTGATTTGTCATTAATAGTGGTATTTAGTATTTCGAATCTAATCCTTAAAAATATGTTTTGAGGATATGGAAATGTGAGTTATTTAAGTTACCCAAAAATAAAGAAATGTGAGCTACTAAAAGGTTGTAATTAATTACACAATTAAGTAGTTGCAAAGTTGAATATCTTAAAAGGAATTAATTTTGACGATATAACATAATGTTGCATGAAATTACAATGTCATATGTTAGACGATATAAAACATAATCTTTTTTTTTTGTTTCATATAATTCTTATTTGTACGTATATATATATCTTCGGTTGGTGAATAATAATATTGCATGTTGGAAAAAAAAAAAGATAAGCCATCTCATACATTCCGGAACCTAATAATCAGTCTTAAATTATTTTGAACTAATAAATAAATAAATAATAGCCATGTTACATTATAACCTCGTGGGCGGTATATTATAATTTAAATAAAATTGTTACCGAAGAATGTGCATGCATGCAATTATATGTTCTTTTGACAAAGACTTTTTCTAGGAGTTAAATCATCGAATTTTGGTCTTACTTTTCGCATTTCAATTACAAAACGTGCCTAAATGAATATAAGAAGTATATATATAATAATAGAGAGGGAAGTTATTTTCCATATCTTCACCTAACGTAACTTATCATGTATTTTTATAATCAAAACTCTAAGAAATTTGTGAATTGAAATAATTTTTTTTTTTTTTGTAAACGTAAATATAATGAAGAGCGTGTGATGTATCAATTGATATGGCTATATATGAATAGTTTAGTTAGGTATCAAATGTAGAAATGTCTATATATATATCACAAAAAAAGTTTAAAGATATATCTTATAATATATTGAAAAAAATATAATATTTAATAATAAATTGATAAAAAAAAGTTGAAATCACATTCTCTTTCTTACAAAACATTAAAATTTTATAATCAATTTTCGGAAATAGTTTATTTCAGTATTATTTATTATTTATTTTTAAGATTTATTATTTTATTGATATAAAACTCAATCTTGTGGATAATAATGTATTAATTTGATTCTGAAGTTTAAAACTAGTGTAATTTATAATTTATGTAGAATTTACACAATTTACGCAAAGATAAATAATAAAAGTAATTAGAAGAATAATAATAATAATTGAAAAAAGTAGATGTCGTGACGTGGATGAACAACTAGGCCACGTGTGAAGAGATCATTTCGGACCAAAGACAGAGACGAGATCAAAACTGTCAAAATCTTATGTGACTTTATATAAGATTTTGTTTTATCACTCACGTGCATCTATTTTTTTTACAACTTCTCCAAATTATTTCTAAAAAAAAAATTTGCCCGTCTTTGTTTTTTCAGTAAATTTCTTTAAAATTTACTTTTGGTCCTTAACAATTAGCTAATTTAATAAGTGGTCAAACAAAACCTTAATTTACACAAAATAACTTCAGAGTTTAGAAGGAGAAAAACTCATCATTCAATTCGTTTTTATTTGGTAAATATGTATATATATACACCTAATTTCTATAAGAAAAATATCCAAATTTCATAATGATAATGATTTGTCAACATGATAATTATTTAAATTTAAAAAATAGTATCAAATTTTATTTTGATTACAATTTTCAAAATCGTAAATTATTTTTCTTTCTAGCATAAGATGTTCATAGCTTAATTTCCATCTAACTATTTTCTGTTTATTTTATGAAATTTATTTGGTTAGTTTTCAAATAATATATTTACATTTGCATAAAAAATGGAAATCCCGTTACAACAATGTAAAAGTTTGGGATAATCAAACAAACTATTTCAAATCTCATATTTTCAAAAAATGTTACAAAAATAAAAGACATGATTCAAAGCTTGAACGGAATATTTATCGTTCTTGAAGTCTCTTTTCTCGTACTTTCTTCAATTCTTGTTTTGCCTTCGTGATGAGATCTCTCATGGAGATGTTCTTGGATATGGGATCTGCCTCTAAGCTCGGATTCGTTTCTTTAGTTGTCGAATCCGACGCTTTTGATACCTAAAAAACGTATAAAAATTACAAAAAAATGAGTCTGAAATTTAATTGTATAGATATATAATGAATGCCAAAATCATTTTGGTTACTTACATTATTATTATCGTTGCTTTTGGAAAATGATTCTGCATGGCCATAGGTTTCCTTTTTTCCAATATCGGAGGAGCTCTTGGTCTGAAAATTTAAGTAGAAAAAAATGTTAGGAGTAACATTACAAAATTATGGATGAAAATTCTAAAATATTATGTATAAATCAATTTTTACATTTATATTAATTAACTAAAATATTAGTATATTTTAATCATAATAACCTTCAATAAAAAAAATAAATGAAGAAAATCCATAAAAAAAATCTAAGAATCTTTGCGGACCGGAAAAAAGAAAATTAAAAAAAAAAAA